CTATATACACACAAACACGCAAACACACACACACATATATATATATATGTGTGTGTGTGTGTGCGTGTGGGTGTTGTGGGTGTGTACATACTTGCATACATACATACGTACATACACTCACACATATATATATATATGTATATATATGTGTTCATCTACCATGTATCATGTGAAATTTGTTCAATTACTGATAGAGGATTTTAGCAAGTCGTGTTAACAGACATAGTCTATCCAGTCTGCGACTTCGCGCGCGTTATTTCCTTGGTGAGTGTCTTACCACGTGTTTAGCATTAACGGAGTGTTGTTCGTAGAAGAGCGTATAGACACGCACCTGTTTACGTACGGTACTCACAATCTGGCGGAGCATTTATGTATGCGGAATCCATTGGGTTCACTATATCTAACGGAATGACAGGTAATATTTATGAATAAATGTACAGACAAGCACCTGTTTACGTATAATACTCTAATTTTAACAGAGCATATATGTATGCGGTATGATAATTTTATACATACATAGACCTAATATATACATACATACATATACACAAATATAATTCAATGCTACCTGATATACATACCTACACACAATCATAAAACATACACACCTATTGCGTTTTATGTACGCTTACGCCACTCCTTTAGGCGAAGTAGGTATATGCGTTACTTCGTTCTAAGCGACTCTATAGACAGCCATAAACCTACCCGAGAGCAAACGTCTGGTGAGTGCAACTTGTCACGCGTTTCTATGAGAAAGCGTATATGATGGCCTTCTAGTATTCATTCTGATTGTCTTTCGGTACAAATACCATATTACAGGTGGTATCAACACGTCTCATCATACTACTTATATACTACATATATGCTACATGTATACTACATAACAAATGTACTAGGCGGTGTGGGGGTACTGAGTTTAAAGCAACTTCAAAGCACCACTGCTGACCGTGTCCTGTCTCCTGTTTTTTTGGGCATAGGTTCCACCCGGTCTTTGATTATCCGGAGATTACAGGGGATATTGGCAGGTCCTTAGCGGATGTAGACGAAGTACTCAGGACCTACCGAGAACACCTGAACGAGGTATGAAAATCCTAAACCCTGAACCCAAAGCTTTAAACCCTAAACCTTAAAACACCATAGCGTCATTAAGGCGAACCGAGAACACTTGCTCAAGGTATACGTAAAACCTCAAACCCTGAAACTCCGTAGTAGTGATACGACTTACAGAGCACCTGAACAAGGCATACGTAAACCCTAAACCTAAACCCTGAACCTTAAAATTTCGTAATATTTTAATAAAGGCTTACAGAAGATCTATATAAAATACGCGCACAAGGCCAGTGCTGGCCAAGAAAAACAGACTCATTCCAACATGTCATCTATATACGGGTTCTCGTTGTGAAGTGCCTGTGCAGTGGCTCTGTACAGTGCGATGAGCGTTGTACATGTGTTGCAGGCATCTGGCTCTATAAAGCAGAGCACATCCCTTGCTCGTTGTAGGCGTGTATTAGATGAACAAACACCTCAATAGTAGTATGCGGTGTACTGGATGGATGTCTGTTGTTGATTTTTCTGCTCTGCTGACGTCACAGGCTTATAGCGCAGTCATTACATCGGACTTCAGCGAAGTAGACGCGATATGGACTGACTATTGGGATCACCCACCGGATGGTATGGATAGGTAAGAACAGGCACGCACACTTCTCCTGCCCATTTGTACGCGTATTTGAGTATGTTTGTTCATTTGCATACGTATTTGAGTATCTTTCTTCATATTTGAGTATATTTGTTCATTCTATACGTATTTGAGTATGTTTGTTCTCTTGCATACGTATTATAGTACATTTGTTCATTCGTACACGTATTTGAGTATATTTGTCCGTTTGTATAAGTATTTAAGTACATTTGTTCATTTGTATACGTTTTTGAGTATGTTTGTTCATTTGCATACGTATTTGAATATCTTTATCATTTGTATACTTGTTCATTTTATACATATTTGAGTATATTAGTTCATTTGTATTTGAGTATGTTTGATACATGTACAATACGTTACCCACAAAAGCCTACACATTCATATTAACACAACACTTTCTTGTATCCATTTGTTTACAACATGGAGTGTTTTTAACATTCGTATAATACGTTGTAATATAAAATTGCGTTGTAATACAATAATAATTCGTTGTAATATAATAAAATACGTTATAATATAATAATAATACGTTATAATATAATAATATTACTTAATAATGTAATAAAAATGAGTTATAATATAATACTAATACGTTATGATTTAATAATATTACGTTGTAATATAATTATATTACGTTATAATATAATAATAATACGTTACAATATAATAATAATACGTTATAATATATTATTATTAATACGTTATAATATAATAATAATCCATTAGAATATAATTATTATACGTTATAATATAACAATGATACGTTATAATATTATAATAATATGTCACAATATAATAATAACACGATATTATAAAACACACACTCAGTGTCATGCATTCCAGCACTATCCCAACCGTACGAGAACATCTGTAGATACTGGGGGAACTTCGGGCTGGAAATCCGTACACCTCACATACATGTACACTTACACACTCACACACACACTTACACACGTGTGCTTGTTCATACATAACCGTACGCCTCACATACATGTATACTTACACGCACACACACACGTGTGTCTTTGCTCATACGCTGTTTGTCCTATTTAAGTCAGCAGAGACACCCGCAACGTGTGTGTAATGCATGCATTCTACGTATATCAGCACATCCGATTTTCAATGCGTACTGGTTTTATGATATAAATACGGATGTGTCAACACTCGCGTTCACAATTACGTACTATTTTTACGATATACATACGATTTTAGCAGCACGTGCGTTTACCAATACGTACTTTGTGTAGGATGCAAATGCCATGGCATGGTATTAGTCGGTGCTCGTCCGGTTACAAAAACTGACTCCTGTAATATTAAATCACAATCAGAGATGCGATTTTGTCAAATGCTTTGGTTTTGGATATCCTGACGATGTGGGAGAGCGAATTCTGTGAATCGTTAGTCCAGGTATGTATGTACACACACACGTATATATATATATTTATATATCTATATATACATAT